AGGTGCTTTCGGATGGCGCAATCTACCCGGAAAGAAAGTTGGAGCCTGCGCATTCAGTATCGAGGTATTCATTGCGCCTCTGCTTGGTCGGACCTGAAGCGCCAGTCACGGAGAGTGTATGCAACTGTTTCAGGCCAGAAAGACTTTTCACTAACTTTGTTCACGTCCTGAGCGTCAACTGTTATTCTCGCGGAGGCCGTTCTGAAGTATTCAGAAGAGTATATAATACATTGCACTATCTCCACGTCCCGATCTCTGCACCATCCAGCGATGGACTGTGCCTGGCAACCACACGGGATTTGCCCCAGGTAGAGAACTTTCCGCGGGCCTCTGGGGACGGTGTCTAACGAAGGTGTCGGGTTGCTATCGGACGTACGTTCCCGGATGTAACGTGAAGACTCGTGGCGGCGGATGGGATTTGTCTGCGCTTTGCGACTGTCAGTCTGCCGTTCCGCAGGACTTGTAGCCTTCTCCGTCCCGGAAGGTTCTGATGCTAGCCGCCTCTTGAAGCGTCGACGCTCCTTCCTGGACATGACATCCTCGAATGGCGCCTGGTCAACCGATATGTCCATTGGAAGGTCAATTGGGGCAGTATCTCTAGATATGGCCTGTGAATACAACTCCTTGGGTTCATTCCTAGCAACGTCTTCAAGCACTGATCCTTCACCTCGGGATGTGGCATGTAGGTCTCTTTGTGCTCTTTCAATCTTCGAATAGCTCGCCAGGGGAGCAGTCATCTGCGGCCGGGCATGCTTGTGCTGTGTCCCGCCGCTGGCCCTCTCCAAGTCTCCTACTCTGTCCGAGAGAGATGCCAGTTCCCGCTTTACAATCGCTTCAACCTCTAGTAAGGGGATACCCTTCTCCTCTGCAGCCGTGATCTGCCGGCGCTGGTCGTCTCTCAGCGCTGCCAACTCGTCACTGATGCTAACGACAATCCGCATCATCTCACCCAAGCGTTCAACGACTCCAGCAGCTGATGGGTGTAACACACCCACACCAGCCTCGCGAAGTTTCCCGACCACCTCCGCGCGAGCCATACTGTCCAGGCCATCAATGCTATGCCGCCGAGCTAAACCTCGCAGTTCCTCGAAAGTGAGAATGGCTAAGTCTACAACGTCACCCAGGTTCATCTTGCACCAGATTACCGCAGACACGGCCGCAGCAAGTCGCGAAAATAGCGTCGTGAAGACAAACCACCAGTGTGAACAGAGGCGCGAGCACTCCACTCCAGCGCGTGATCCAGCACGTGATGCAGCGATGTAGCGATGTAGGTAATCCAGCTAGACGCAACGCACAACCCAGCCCTAGCGCTAAAGGATTAGACCAGACCTGGACCAGGACTTCATCCAATGGCAGGACACTGCCAACTCAGCCAACCTGAAGATATAACAGCAGCCCTGTCAGCTCCAGACCAAACAGCAACCAAGCAACTCAGCAGCCAAGCAAGCTTCTTCCTCCAACCAGAGCATCCAAAAGTCCAACCAGCACGTAGCACTCAATATTAACAATGTAAGCGATGGAGACGATGCAAGAAACAACCTAAAGGGTAAGGAAAAATACATGTAAGAAGAAAAAGGGCAATGGAAAAAAGGGCAATGGAAAAAAAAAGATGATTCGAACAAGTTTTCGTACAACACTCTTCAGGAATCACCGTTATACTCATTAACGGCCAAGCTTGGCCGCACTAAACACGACACGTTACTTGAACAATTTCAACCCAATTATACTATCTTTCTGTACACACAAATTAGGCTTGTACAGACGCTGATAGATAGCTTCCAACACTTTTAACTGTAGTCCATAACCATGACGACCACGGCACAATACAGTGAACGAAGAGTCGGAATACGCACCGCAACAATCAGGACTAGCCAGCAGATGATTGTACACTGAAGACTTGCTACCACGAAACCTACGCACAACACTAACACTCTCACCGGCACTCTCACCATCACTCCCATCACTGCTCTCCGACTCACTGCTCCCTCCGCCGTCCGTTCCATCCTCCGCTTCTTCTGTACTCTCTCTGTCTCGTCCATCCCGCCTGACCGGGTCCATTGAACTCAACTCGGCCGTCCCCCTGCAATCACGTCCCTCCTTTCGCCCTCGTCCGCTGAGTGCGTAGCTTCTGTTGTAGTTGGCTGTTGATCGTCTTGGTCTTTCAATTATGGGCTTGGATGGTGGATTAGTTGTGGTTGCTGTAGATTGCGTTGTTGGTGTTGGTGTGGGAGTTACTGATATGCAAGGTGGGTCTTTTTATGTCGGCATTTGTAGTGTTAATGCAGCTGTCAGTGTTGCTCGCGGTCTGCCACTGGCAAGCTCCACCGCCGCAAGAACCGATGGCGGAGGATCAGGAGGAGGCAGTGGGACCGGGACCGCAAGCGGCACCGCCTCAGCCAAAGCCGCCGGGGGCACTGACGAGGGAACCACCGACGGCCGGAGCAAAGGCGGCGACACAAGCCGACCCGATGAGCCACCACGCCCATTCTCCTCCACCACCGCCACCAACGACGGCGGAGCAAGCACAGTCTGTGAGCCAGGATCCGCGGGTTGTGTAGGCAACGGCTGTGTGGTTAGTGGTTGTTTTCTAGGTCGCCCTCGCTTCGGTCTTTGTTGTTGTGCGCAAGGTGGAAGTATGTGACGTGGTGTGTGTTGTTTGATGCGTGCGTTCAGGTGCTGAACAGGGGGACGGCCAGGGGGACAGGGGGACGGCCAGGGGGACATGGGGACGGCCGAGTTGAGTTCAATGGACCCGGTCAGGCGGGATGGACGAGACAGAGAGAGTACAGAAGAAGCGGAGGATGGAACGGACGGCGGAGGGAGCAGTGAGTCGGAGAGCAGTGATGGGAGTGATGGTGAGAGTGCCGTTGAGAGTGTTAGTGTTGTGCGTAGGTTTCGTGGTAGCAAGTCTTCAGTGTACAATCATCTGCTGGCTAGTCCTGATTGTTGCGGTGCGTATTCCGACTCTTCGTTCACTGTATTGTGCCGTGGTCGTCATGGTTATGGACTACAGTTAAAAGTGTTGGAAGCTATCTATCAGCGTCTGTACAAGCCTAATTTGTGTGTACAGAAAGATAGTATAATTGGGTTGAAATTGTTCAAGTAACGTGTCGTGTTTAGTGCGGCCAAGCTTGGCCGTTAATGTTCTAGGTGTAATGTACTGCTGTTATGTGTTATCACGTTGTCTTTCCTTCCTTTCTCCTTTGTTCAGTTCTCGCTTTGATTGTTAAAATTCACACTTGTAAATTTCACTGTTGTTGCTCTTAGTGTTATTTCTCTAACTTAGATTTTCTATAATAGTTCAATTTTTGTTTCAGTGTCCTTTAGTACAACGACGATTCCTGATGAGTGTTGTACGAAAACTTGTTTGAATCCATATTTTTTCCCTACACCATTTCTTCATATTTTCATCGTTTTATTGCACATCGTCTCCACCGTTTTTTACATTGCATGAATAAAGTACACAAATGTCGGTTCAGCTAGTTTTATTGATTGCGGTTATCAAATTGTTGTCTCCTCGCCGTGTGTTTATTATTATTATTATTATTATTATTATTATTTAAAGAGTCGGCGTGGAGAAAGCAATTTTATTAATGCAATAAAGAATATAATAGATGCAGACATGGCCAGACAACAAGTTCATGGAATTTTTAAGGATGTTTATGTTATTCAAAATCGATTTTCGTGTTCCGCTCATCAGTGAATAGTAAATCAGTGAATAGTACGAAAATCGATTTTGAATAACATAAACATCCTTAAAAATTCCATGAACTTGTTGTCTGGCCATGTCTGCATCTATTATATTCTTTATTGCATTAATTATTATTAAATTTTTGATAGGGCTTTAGGAATGGGTTTGCTCCCACACTGGAGCTCGCGCTATTCCGCCGACTTGACTTGACTGACTCACGACTGCCATCCAGAGCACACGATAAGCCCATCCAACCTTCGACTCGACCAACCTGCTTATGGATGGCAGTCGTGAGTCAGTCAAGTGTCAAGTCAAGTCGGCGGAATAGCGCGAGCTCCAGTGTGGGAGCAAACCTATTCCTAACAAATCATCGCCGAAGTCGTAACCACTATTTCAAAGCCTCTTGTACGGGCAAAACAGAAATAAAAACAATCAATGATTAGATCGAGCGCACGCGGTGATGATCATGTACAATGTCATTAATTAATGACACTTGACAGATATTTTAATATGGCAATAAGTAGGACGAGCTGAAGCGACATGTGGACTACTTTATTAACAATGTAAGCGATGGAGACGATGCAAGAAACAACCTAAAGGGTAAGGAAAAATACATGTAAGAAGAAAAAGGGCAATGGAAAAAAAAAGATGATTCGAACAAGTTTTCGTACAACACTCTTCAGGAATCACCGTTGTACTAAAGAACAAAATGAGAACAAAGGAAATAATGTAGCAATCAAGGTAGGGTGACACGATACAATGACAGCACTGGAATATCGAGGTGCGATTTCTCACAAAAGTGTGCACGGAAAACAAGGGTATACAAGTAAGAACTAAGCGTGACAAGTATTAATAATATTATGGAAGCCTCTAGCTGAGATTCTTGCTTCAGCAACAACAAGCGCTGCCGAGTCTGAAGCCCCATATTAATTTTGGTAAGAATGCCTTGCGTGCACCAAGAGTGCAGTTATGGAGTCTTGGTGGCAGGCGCTGTACCCGGTACCCTACCGGGGTCGCGGGTCCCGGGCCGGCCGTGTACCGGTCCATGGCCCTGGACTGTAGAGCCTCGTCTTGTACTTGTAGTACTGTACAATCATGTAGACAGTGTAGTACGTGATCGCGCGCGCGCTGTACTGACTGTGCATGCATGCAAAAAAGCGCATTGCGCCATGCATGCATGGTCATGCCTCATGCCATGGTGATCACCTACATTCTTGGAGTGCAAGAATTTTTCGATTCCTCAGCTGTATGTTGAGATATCTGTATTGACGTGACGTGTCGTGATTCATGCACGCTCTTTTATTTTGGAGTCTTGTTGAGATCGAGCTCCAGTGCAGTCCAGCTGGTCCTTCGCCTTGTTGTTGTGTTCAACGTTTGTTATTCAGTTGTGGTGTCCTTGTGCTCATTTCTAAGTTCGCAATCATGAATCACCAAGGCGGTAAGCAGTGGGGCAAGTTGAAGGAGTCTCAGAAGAAAGAACTGGATGACATTAACCAGTCGTACCACAGCGGAGGCAAGTTCGACGATGTCGAGGACTTGGCTGACAAGCTCATCTCGTACCGTGACCAGTTCATGGAGTTTGACGAGGACAACTCTGGTGACATTGATCTCATGGAGCTGAAGCGAATGATGGAGAAGCTCGGCCAAGCTAAAACCCACTTGGAGCTGAAGAAAATGATTGCTGAGGTGGACACGAACAACTCCGGTACTATTCACTATCCTGAGTTCTTGGACATGATGCTGGGTAAGCGATCTACGATCTTGAAGATCATCTTGATGTTTGAGGCCATGAATAAGGAAAAGGAACAACCCAAGGGAGTTGCTCCTAAGAAGAGCTTTGCTGATTTGCCATGAGCACGTAAGAAACAATGCAATACTTTATTCCACTTTCTCCATGATACATTTAAAAATTTCCCTTGTCCTTTGTATTCTCTAGTTAGAGCTGGTGGTGTTGCCCGTTGTAGAACCACCTAGCGAAAGAATGTCAAGTCGTGTCTTTTTTGTAGAGTCCCCCAAGCTGCTCTCCAAACTCCATCGTATCGATCATGTAACTAACGAGGTGCTGCCTGTGCCGGTATAGAGCTGTAGTGTTTTGTTGTCAGCTTGCTCTCTGTCTGCCGGCGTCCACTGTTCTTGCTTCCGCATAAGATTAGCTTGCTGTGTCGTGTCTTTGCCATACCCCTGCTCCTTCTACTAGCAGGCGTTTTTGAATTGGGTCGTCCGAAAATAAATTGTGCTTATATTTTTTTGCTACGTAGCCATTTGATCGATTCCTTGTCATGTCCCATAGTACCGTACCTAGACGACGTTCCAGACGCTATCTTGAGATCTGGTGGCTGAGAAGTATATTTTGAAGATCACCTTTAGCTCATTTTGTCATTGAAGTTTTTGGCTATTTTCTTCAGCAGGAGTATTTTGACTTTTGACATTTCATTTTAAGAAATGGGCGATTATCCATACTGGCTGTTCGCGCAATTGCCTCGGCTGTGAGTCTGTGCCTGCCTGTGTGAGCTTCCATGCATGTACACTGTCCCGTGAGTACATGTGGGGGGGGGGGGGGGGTTGGTTAAATTTTGCCATTGTATTCGTAATAAGTTGCAGCGAGATGATCGAGTGAGGCGTGGCCTCTCCATGGGCTTGGAACACAGCCACTGTGTGCGCTGATGTGAACAATATTGTCCGGGTGTATCTGGCCGCTCACGGTGGCAGTGCAACAGACCGGGAGATATTGGTACATGCATTACATCGTATCTGTTACCTGGAAACCCCTACCCATCATCTTGTTATACTGACTGAATAGCCTAAATCTGTGTGTGTGTGTGACCCGTCCACACTATTATGGATATGTTGAACATGACGAACATAATGTACATACGCAGTTGTTCCCTGAATCTGATACTTACTGTAAATCAAACATTAACAAATATTCGGCGCATATTTAAATTTCGCAGAGGCACGGCTGTTCAAAACTCGCGAAAAAGCGACATGAGGCCCCGGGTTCGAGTCCAGGTCAATCAACTGTGTTTTTTCAAATTTTTCGCTGAGAGCCTCAATTTCGCGATCCTCACCCACGTCTCAAACCCATCAATATTGCCTCGCCACGTCGCTCACACACCACTCAGAACACCCAGTCCCGGTGCAGCAGGTGCAAGAGAAAATGCTGACAACTCGATCGCTCGAACGATCTTCTTTCTCCGTTTCGTTTTCCTGTTGGAGCCGTTTCCAGTGTTGAGAGTTTGTTTGTTTTGAAGTCGTAGCGTAGGAGCTGGGTTCACCCGAGGTCGTTTTCCTAAGGCTGCTGCTGCTCTTCGTCCTGTTTTCCTGGGTTAGTTTTTAGTTTTCTGTGCTTGCCTTGCTGGTCTAGTTTCCAATTCTGCACAAATCTTGCTGGACCGACGTACTTTGCCTTAGACCAAGGCGCCTTTGTGATGCCAACTTTGCATTGAATATGGATCAACACGTGCAGTACCTTTCAGCTGTGTGCAGAATTGGTGGGGAGAGATTCTCGTCGCATGCCAAAAAAAACAAGCATGAAGCTCACGAATACTCCGTTGGCATACAGCATGTCTTTGAGTGCGATGTCACCAAGGATGAGGCACACATACATCCACGCTACATCTGTAGCCCTTGCCATCAAGTTATTTTACGTAGTGAGGAAAAGGGGTACAGGCACTGTGGTGGTGGCTGTGCAGGCAAACTTGTAGCTTGGGTGGCCCATGCAGAGCCAGACTGTACGTTCTGCAAGAACATGAAAAGTAGCAGCAAGGGTGGGAGGAAACCAAAAAAGAAAAAAATGCCTACATACAGTAGTACACAGCACTCTGCATTGTCTTCGTCGGCTTCCGCGGCCGCGTCAGCTTCCGCAGCCGCGTCAGCAGACGACAGTGCCACATCTACTGGCATTGATCTTGAAAGCATGCAGGTGCTTTTGGACATGGGGTCGCCTTCCTACAAAGCGAGCCAGGTGCTGTCACCTGATCGGTTTCAATTTATTTTCCCTTCTGTTACATGTAGCGTATGCCGGCACGTCGCCGACAATGCACTTACGACGCCTTGCTGTAGCAAGCTAGTTTGTGTGCCATGTGTTTGGGAGCACCTCAGCACTACGCGTACCTGCCCTTCTTGCATGTGTGACATGTATGCATCTGGAATGAGAAAGTTGTCATCATTTGAGCTGGAATGTCTTTCTCATCTGCCAGTGAGGTGTGACAATTACGTGTCCTCTCTTTCTGGCTGCCAGCACAGCATGAAACTGTTCTCATTGCAGACGCATATGAAGGTCTGTCCTTTCAATGCATACAGTGGCCCTGCCTGTGTGACCAGGTCGACTACTGTCGCAGATGTATTGACAGCGTCACCCAGCAAGCTTCGTGGGGAGGCAGCGGAGCATTTGACTACCCACTTGGTACAGTCAAAGTCCACTGATGGTAGGCTAGAGTTACGGACGGGTGGTACCCCTGCTTTGTATGTGCGTACAACGCAAGGTGGCAGTGATGCTGTGTCTGTAAGGCAGATGCAGAGGAGGTCGGCAGAAATCCGACAGGCGAAAGAGGTAGTCTGTGGGGGCACTGTTGGTGTCGGTAAGCAAGATGCCTATGAGCTGCGTAGTATGGGTCAGATAGACCGTGAAAATTTGCTTAAATCTGCCGGTGTGTCTCCTTGTGCACCTTCATCTCATTCTGCCCTTGCTTTAAAAGCAGATCTGCACATGCCTTGGAACCAGCTGAGGAAACTGCGGAGGTGGCTCAAGTCCTTTGGGTGTGAGATTGAGTCGGAGAACACCATGCGGCAGCAGCTTGCGGCAGAGGTACCTGCATTTTATGCTTCCGAAATGTGCCCTTTCACTCTTCCGGGTGGTGATGTAGTTTCGTCACCAATGGTTGTGGCATGCAACCTCACAGAGATTGTCCTTTTCTTCTTGGACCAGTACGAGGAGGCTGGTATGCTTACCGACCATGGTGTTATCCCGCAGGATGAGATTTGGGTGAAGTTAGGGGGAGATCATGGGGGCGGGTCTTTCAAATTATCCTTCCAGGTTTGCAACATCCCTCACCCAAATGCTGTGAAAAACACCATCCCTATCCTTGTGTTCAATGCAAAAGATACCCCGGGCAACCTTTCCACTGCTTTTGCGTCACTTGTACAACACATTGACAGCCTTGCTGCAACCACATGGCAGAACAAGTCGTTTCGCCTTATTTTGTTTGGCGACTACGAGTTTCAAACGACTGTTTATGGCCTGTCAGGATCTGCAGGAGTGCATCCGTGTCTGCACTGCTTGAGTACAAAGCAACAGATACAACAGTGCCCCGCTGATTGGGAGCAGCAGCCAGAGCCACGCACGCTCGACACACTCTCACTTCACCATGGCCAATTTATGGCTGACGGTGGGCGCTTATCCAAAGCAAAGCATTTCTACAATGCCATACGTCCTGCCATGCTCTCTGTTCCTATTGATCATGTGTGCCTGCCAGCCTTACATCTTGATCTCGGAATCTATTTATGGGTCTTTGACTCCTTTGTCAAGGAGTGTAAGCATATTGATTTGAAAATGGCATGCGAGGTAGAAGTGAGTGAGGCAGATTCAGCTGCCTTTAAAAAGCTGATAGAAGATCAGAAAGAATGTAAGAAAAAAAGATTAGAACTGGAAGAAAAATCTAGTCAGCTTGCTGTCTTGACTGGCCAGATGCAATGGGTTGCTCTCCATTTTGGCAATCCGGAGCAGCAAAACAACCTCCAGGCTTTGGTTGGTAACCTCCAGCATGCTGCCACGCAAATGCAGCAGCAGGTCACAGCTCTGCAGGGTGACATAAGAAAACACGAGCAGACCCTCACAAATGCAAAGCTCGACAACGGGCCTTGCAACCAGTATGTTGAGGCTGCTTTACAAAAGCACAACATCTGCCGGCAAGTGTACCATGGGGGTTCATTTATTGGCAACCATGTCCACCACGCGCTTACAGACTCCGTCATCACTGACTTGACCTCATTCATTGCAGTTGTTGAGAAGCGTGCACCCTCTCTGGCTGCTGATGCTTCAGCTGTATCCAGCAGATACAAGCTGTTGTTCCAACAATACGCAAAGTGTCACGTCGCATTTTCCGGAACTTCAGCAGTCTCAGCAGAAGTTTGCGACCAGCTGCAGAGCGATATCGACAAGTTTATGGTGTCAGTTCGTAGGGAGATTGTTCCTCGTAGCCTTGGCCGGGTTACTCCAAAGCTGCACCTTTTGGAGTGTCATGTAGTTCCGTTCATGCGGAAGTTCAAAGTAGGTCTTGGGTTGCTTGCTGAGCATGGGGCAGAATCCATTCACAAAGAGTTCAACACCCTTCTTCTCCGTCATGGTGGCATTGTAGATCCTCTACAAAGGCTTCGAGTCACTGTCCAGCAGCACCTTATCGCAGCTCTCCCCAGTTTACGACCTCTGGTCCCAGCTCCTCGCAAACGAAGTAGAAAGGAACAGTCCTGAAATACTTTGTTTGCTCAGTTCAATTTTCAGTGTAGTGCGTTGATCGCGGGTGGTTGGTGGGTGAGTTGGCGTCAGTTCAAGTAAACGAACTGCCTCCAGCTTGCTCGTGAGTAAAGAGCAGAAAACTAACAACGAACTGGACCACCTGCTATCGTCAGCAAAGGAGAACAGCTACAGCCAGGTAATGTATCCATTATCTTTCTCTATCGTTATTATTTTATTCAAATCAGCTTCACAGTTTGGCGATTTCGCTGCATCTCTCATTGATTTGGCATCAGTTCGATCTCACAAACTGTTCACAGCTGGCCGGCAAGACGACGCGCGAGGCCAGACAACACAGGTACACCGAACAGGGCCGACTATTATCAGGAGAGAATAAAACAATTCCTTCAAACTTCATCTTCTCACTCGATGGATTTTGAAAAATTCCTGTTCGAAGGTACGATCGCTTGGCCACGCTACCCCACGCGTACATGTTACCATGGGATTCTGACGTACAGTACGCGCGTGCATACAGCGCGTGCAGTGCAAAAAAATCGACGCCATTTTGCCTGATGTCGCACTCGAAACAGCCGTGAGAGGGTATTCTTCTCGTAGGCTGAAATTTTGGTTTGCAAGCTTTAGTGTGACATGACAGGCTGAATTTTTAATGCGAAATGTGTTTTCGATCTCGGAGGCCGAAATTTAAGAACGTGCCGCCGACTTTTGATTTTACTGCAGAAAAACCCCCCTTTTACCGCAGAATTTTGAATTCTTGGCCGCATTTTTTCCAAAGGGACAGTCAAGTTGCTGAAATCGCATCCATATTTTCAGGGAAAGCTCAAAAGTGGCCAACACTAAAATTTGTAGTAAACTTTGAGAGTTCTTGTGCATACCATGATGCCAAAACTGCAGAAATTCGGCGACAGCAAAATCTATACCCCTTCCTGCTGTGAACCACAACTTTACACAGTTCAAGATGCCTGTTGCATGCATCTTCCATCATTTCAG